ATTGGGTGATTAAAGTTTCAAATGGGTACTAGAAAGGTGATTTCAAGCTGTTTTAAGAAACAGCTTGATACTGTCATGGGAGAGTGGCCTACTCTGGAAGAGTGAGATCCAATAATCTTTGCATCTGATATAGCACTTATCATGTCATTGAGACGTCTCAAAGTGCTTCACAGAATATATTGTAAAGTTGGGTGACTGTGTAATTTGTGGGCGGAACGGCCCACGGTCTAGAGAACTGACTGAGTGATTGTGCGACAACTCCAAAATCAGTCAATATCATTTAAGAGTGGTTTCTGCCGTTGAATCTTTTACCACATTATAATGCAGTCTGTTAAAAGTTCCCGAGGAGTAGTTCAAGCTGAGAGCCTTCAAATGGAAGTGAGCCCAGTACAATTTTCACCTGCTGTGTTTATGTTGGTGGGAGACCGAATTGTTCTTCTCCTTGGTCTGTCTCCTCCAGGAGGTGGGAGATGTGAGGCTTCATTGCTGCATCAGTCATTATTTATTGAGACTGTTTGCCAGTGATTTGCAAGGAGCCAATTCTTCTCCGCATGTGCAATATATAAACACAGCAAATGTCAGAAACACTAAGAGGTTTGGTTAAAGGCTAAACTCAACCAATTTGTCTGTTGTGCAGTCCTGTAGTTTAGTGGTTAGAACACTCGCCTCTCAAGCGAGAGACCTGGGTTTGATTCCCGGCAGAGCGAACCATGGGCAAGTTTCCTTACGCCACACACCTGATAATAATCCCTCAAGAAAAACAAACAATAATCAATTGGTCACTTCAATCCACGACGGTTTGTGTGACGCTGCTGTGCGCAATTGGCTGCCGCATTTCGTCCACAAATATACAGTCAATTCAATTTGCAGTCTATTCTGTGAAGCGCTTTGAGATGTCTCGAAGACGTGATAAGGCGCTATATCAAATGCAAGGATTATTATTATTATTATTAATTTAGTTACAATGCACCCACGTCTTCCCGGCAGGTAAGGTCTTAATGGTTCCAAAGTCCTGTCATCTGATCAGTGTGTGATTTCATGTTTCACGTGCGGAAAAAAAATTAAATGTTCATTAAGCGGACGTAAAAAGTTTCTATAATTTTGGGGTGTGTTTGCTGTGATATTACACTGCACTACTATTCTTAAATAAGGAGCCAAATTCTAACCAGAGAGTGACAGCAAATTACCTGCACCAATGGACGGTGAAACATCAGCTGAAGCACTTTAAGATAACTGTGACTGGTAGAATGTGTGGTTTGTTTTCTGGTTAACACAGCGTTAGGCGGTAGCAGCATGTGTTGCAGCTGCTGTATTTTAACTCTTCGCTGAAGTTTGCACCTCTGCACATCCTTTGAAAGTGGAACTTAAACGGGACCTTAACATAAAGTTTCACACAATCTTTCCATTCTAAGGATTTTCCGTCCAAAACATTTCAGTTGCTCCTTTTAGCACGTGATAACTGCTAACACTTGAGAGCGTTTCATGAATTACGAAAATCCGTGGTGTACGTACTATATTTGTACATTTATATATTTGAAAATTACCCACAACAGAATACATTTTTTGCAGATTGTAGATCACAACCGCCTGTATTTATGCAGAGGCTTTCGCCTGAGCAAAATGACTCAAAGTGCTTTGCAAAATGTAGCAACAACTTGCATTGATGTCGCGCTCTTTATGCAGGAGAGTGTCTCAGAACGCAGCACAGTGGCGGGATTGGAAATAACAAATATAATAATAATAATAAAGATAACAAAAAGATTACAAGGTGTAAATAACTTTCAGTTACAAAAAGTTGAAGGAAGGACTAAAGTCATGAAGCCTTCAGCTGTATAGTGTCTTTCAATGCATTGTCTCAACGATCAAACTGACTTTCACCGCCAGACTTTTTCAGCTTTTGATGTGGTCGCTCAGTCTGCCGGCGACTGTCAATCGCCAATCTTTTCATCCATTTTACTCTGACTGCATTGCAAGACGCTCAATCAATATGCTTCCGAGATTTATGAAAGGCAAGCCATCTTATCATTTCGATGCTCGGGCTCATATCAGAGAGGTTATTTACCGGGAACTTTTACGCGTGTGGAATTCTAATAAAGAATTTGTAACTTGTCATCTCCCCTGTGGGACATGCCGGTCTGTATTCTGGCTTAAGAATAGTTTTTTGCACGTTCACAGTGTCAGCCTGGCTCAGTTGATAGCACTCCCACCTCTGAGTCAGGTTTTTTTTTGGTGGGGGGGGGGGGTTCAAGTGACAAGTGGGGACTTTGAACTCACATAGCCTGGGCTGACACTCCAATTCAGTGGCGGGGCACACCAGTCCTTTGGATGAGACATAAAATCAAGGTCCCGTCTGCCTGTTCGGATGGATGTCCAAGATCCATGACACTACTCGAAAGGAGAAAGGACTTTCTTCTGGGGTTCTGGCTAACAATTCCCCAGATACAAAAGAGTGGTCATTCACTTCACGGCTGTTTGTGGGACATTGATGCGCGCAAACTGGTTGCTGGTTTTATCTGACAAATTCACAGTCACTAGATCCAGATCTCTCTCACAAATTCACTGTGGAGTTTGTATATCTTTGGGGAACCCACAGATGGATGGTGGCAGGAGTAGAAGTCACTTGTTGTAGCCTGGGTCCAGACATGACATGTTTCAGAGTGAGTCCGTAGACTAAATTTGAGTTCATAGGGGTTTGTTTTGCCTTACAACAACAACAACAAAATGACATTTATAGAGCGCCTTTCACGATGGGAGGACGACCCAAAGCGCTGAACATTCAGGTGTCGGGGCCCGAGCGTGGGGCAGGGGTAGTGTAGGGGTGAGGGAAGGCAGAGAGGTGGGAGGGCGACCAAAGGCACGATCGAAGAGAAGGGTCTTGAGACCGGCCTTGAAGGAGGCGAGGGAGGAAACGAGGCGAAGGGACTGTGGGATGGAGTTCCAGAGTGTGGGGGCAGAGAGGCTTATGCTACTCTTATGCATGTTTGATGTTGTTTCCATGCTGTTTCCCCCCCCCCCCCCCCCCCGCCCCCCACACACACTATTTCCATCAAACTGCAATAACATGTCCTGGTGTGTGGCATCCAGCAGAAAATAAATGATTTGCAACGACGCAGTAAGAGGTTGTCCATGAGAGCACCTCTCATCTGATTGCTAACGCAGGGAAATGCTGTCCATCTTGAACTTTCAAGCATGAGAGCTTAATGAAGGACATAGAGAGAGAGGGAAAGCAAATCTTCCAAGCACTGCTAAAGTCATGTAGCTGTATGAAAGGGCAATGACATTACACAGCAGTCAGGAACCACACTGAGCCAGTACAGTCAGTCTTATAGATTCCTGTCAAGGTGAAAACATATCAGGACAATAATCACAGGAAACAGTGCAAAGGGCTTAGCGTGGAGTAAAACAAAACTACTGCTTTAATGGCCATCACTTAGATTAATCATCGATCGTCGCACTTGATACGACGCCTTTCGCATCAGGGGGACATCTCAAAGTTCTCACAGGATTTAGGGTAAATTGTAGTCACTGTGTATCTTGCAGGTATTTTGTAGGATTAGATGCATTGTTATTAAGGAAAAATTAAGGAATGTGGACGCTAGTTAACACGTACTGAAAAATTACAAATGTTAAATTAAGAGAGCTTCCAAATACGATAGCAGGATATTTTACTCTTTCCCTAACTTGACTCTCTCCACGATTGTAGAGATTGCTTCCAATCATCCGTTGTTTTAAGACACTGGTTAACAGCCTGAATCCCCTCACAATCCCTGTCGACCTCCTCTCCGTAGCAACACGTGAAAACAGCTGTCGTTTTAATGAAGACTTTCAACAGATTTGCGTTAAGGAAAGCCCAATCACTTGATGCATATCACAACGAATGTCACACATTGGATGGGTAGGGAAGCCTAGGCTGGTCGTCTAATCCCTGTCTGATATTTCTGATTGTTAACACTCAACACGTAATTTTGTTTCGCCCACAAAATACGGTCAATTCACTTTGCAATGCAGTTTGTGAAGCGCTTTGAGACGTCTCAACGACCTGATAAGGCGCTGTATCAAAAGCAAGGATTGTTATTATCATTATTTGTACCGAGTACTTAGAATCTTAGACTGGACTCAGTGGAGGCAGGTAAAGAAGTTTGGGAGCTGCAGACTAACCCAGAGTTCACTAAACCTCACAGTCTCTAGGAAAGGTTGGCAGTTAGAGCAAGTTAAACACTTAACCGAGATCCCACTTACCCACTCTTTGCCAGCCCTTTGCCTGGCGACCATAACCCACGAGAAAAACACCCTGCACAGTTAAAAGGCATGCCTGTCTGTCACCCCTTAATGGGGAAAGTAGCACGAACAGATTATTGACCCAACAGAGACACGTAACCTCTTTGAAAGTGCAAATTTGCCTTGAAATGTGTGAAATGTGCCGGCAGGTGGGAAACAATATGTGTGAGCAGATCAACTTGTACTTTGGTGCAAACCATTGGAGCAGTTTCGCAATGCCTCGCTAACAGGTCACTTGTATTAACTGAAACAGACGCATAATAATGTATGACTCTTGCGTTTGCTACAGCGGGTCGTTGAGACGTCTCAAAGCGATATGCTGTCAAGTGAACTGACGGGGCTGAATCTTAACCAGGAAAGCTGCAGAAAGCCTTCGACACACAAACCCACACACACACCGTATACTACTACTACTAATAATAACAATAATAATAAAGCTCAAGAGAGAAACACGCCCGGCGTTTTCGCCCACAAAATAAAACGATTAATCCAGGTAACAACGACGACGACGACGACAACTTGCATTTTTATATGCCCCCCCCCACCCCACCCCCACCCCGTGCGCTTTTAAACAGCACATTACACTTCACGGGACAGTATATTCCGCGGAGCGCTTTGATGCTTTGCCGTCTCAAAGGCCGCGATAAGGCGCTAATATCAAATGCAAGGAGGAGGAGGAGGATGATTAATATGATTATTATTACTGTTAGGAAACAACTCACCCGTGCCATCTATGTTCTCCTGGCAGGATAACCAGATGCCCGTGTGGAAGTGGCGGAAGAGAAAGCGGTCGTCGCCAGTCTCCCAGCTGTAATGGACCAGGTTGGAGCTGGTGCTGCTGTTGGTGGTGGTACCATTGCCATTGAAGTTGATGCAGTTGACTTGCTTGGCTTGGCTGCAGTTGGGTTTGGGGACACGTTGGGTGCCTTCGCACCAGTAAGTGGTCAGGAAAGCGGTGGTGGAGAAAAACAGAGCCACTAAGTTTAAGGTCACAGCCAGCAAAGCTCTGCATTTCCTTGTGGTCTTCATTTCTGGATGCTCAGATACATAAATGGTAATAGATAGAGATGCATATACACAGCATATTAGATTCCTCCCCAACCCCCTCCTCCCCTCCCTTCCCTACCTAACCCCCTTTGCTGTTTGCTTCTTAAAAAATACAGTCAAATAACAAGTGAGTGTGTGGCTGGTTGAGGTTAAAGCATCTTCTATCCCTCCCTCTCCCTCTCTCTCTCTCCCACACTCACACACACACACACAGAGGGACCTCAGCAAATGCACTGATAACTAAATGCACATCAGTCGCATCATCTCAAACGCACTAAACCATCTCTGGCTATAACCCCTCTCTCTCTCTCTCTCTCTCTCTTTCTCTCTTTTTCCCTTTCTCTCTTTTTCCCTTTCTCTCTCTCCCTCTCCCTCTCTTTCTTTTATCTCCCCCTTCTATGTGTCTTCTTTTCCTCCTCCTCTCTAGACACCCCTCTCTCTCTCTCTCCTCTCTCTCTCCTTCCCCAGCAGTAATATACCTGTCCCACCACCAAACCCAGACCGAATGAGCCAAGAGGCAGTCAGGAGTCGAGGTATCTATCTGCCTGCAGGAGCCTTCCCATCCCCAATGCACTGCATCATCATCTCCAGGCGTTGTTAACACATGGTAAACCAGTGCCTGCCTGCCAGCCCCAGGCACCTGACTGCCTTGCCCTGCTTTGCCTTGCCCTGCTTTGCCTTGCCCTGCCCTGTTGCCTGGTTGCTGGACTCAAAGGGGGAAATATTCACCCCAAACATTCACACAACAACATAACATAACAAGGACAGAAAAGCTGCCACTTGTTTGTATTGTCAGTATTGTCTGTCTGTCTGTCTGTCTGTGATCCCTTTCCCCCCCCCTTGTTATAATAATCATAATCATAATCGTAATCTTTGCATTTTTTAATTTAATTTAATTTACTAAGGTGACTGCATAATAATAGTCAAAATTATTCTCGTATTCGACATAAAGCCTTTCAGCAACAACACCACATTACATTTGACCTGGTCCTCACCTTCAAAGCCCTCCATGGTCTTGCTCCCCACAACCTCTCCGACCTCCTAACCCCCTACCACCCTGTTTGCTCCCTCCGCTCAATGGGCTCCGGCCGGCTTCACGGCCGCCGCCTCGCTTGACCCACTATCGGCGGGCAGACCTTCCGCCACCCTGCCCCCACCCTCTGGAACTCCATCCCGCAGTCCCTCCACCTCGTCCCCCTCCCTTGCCTCCTTCAAAACCCATCTCAAGACCCTCCTCTTCGACCGTGCTTTCGATCTCCCTGCTCCCCCCCGTCTTCCACCCTCCCCACCCCCACCCTTCCCCCCCACCTCCAGACCCCCAGCTCAGGTCCGAAACTCTGTCTGTCCAGCGGCTTGGGACGTCCTCCCAGCATGAAAGGCACTTTACTAATGTAATTTGTTGTTGTTGTTGTATAGTGCCTTTCACATCGGGAGGATGTCCCAAAGCGCTTTCACATCCAAAGGACGTCTCAAAGCGCTTCACAGGATCTATTGCAAAATCTAGCAACTGTTTATTTGCAGGAGCCAATTTGTGCACTTTAACGTCGCAGAAAAAAGCCTCAAAGTAATTGGAATGATCAGTTTTATCTGAGGGAATGTTGGCCAGGAGAAATCGGAGCATAGGAAACGATGAGGAGGTCGCTCAAACTCGAGAGCCAGTTACACCAGTTTATTAGATCTTTTAATCCCAATGCCTCAGCCCTTTGCCATAGCCCTTAATGTTTCTGCTATCCAAGTATCTCTCTTTGAAGGATATCGATTGATTCTGCCCCTACAGCTTTTCGGAGTAGAGCGCCCACATCTTTGCAGTGCTGAATTGTCTCATCACAACTTCTCCGAGGCTGTTTCCGACCGCAGATGTTGTCGCCACATTATTATAAATAACAATAATAATAATTATCCTTGCATTTGATATTGCGCTGGGGTGCTTCTGAAAAGTTTCCGTGATTACACAGTCACTTTCACTCTCAATGAAAAGCCAATGAACAATTAGAAAGAGAAGACTATTGAAGGTGATTGCTAACGTATGACCTCCACGCATCATTAAGTGTAACGCTGAGAGATAAAATACAAGTAAAAAGAAAATCAATCCAGATTAAAACTACCGATCAAGGGAAAAGTCTTTAGTGAACAGGTTTGCATTTAGATTTAGTCTCAGTTGTAGCGGATGAATGACTTATTGCTGCATTACTCAGGGACGAAAATGCCATTAATAACATGTCCTAATATTGTACGGTAGCACTATCAACATATAAATAATAATCCGTGCATTTGATATAGCGCCTGTCACGTCGGGAGGAAATCTCAAAATGTTTCTTTCAGGATGTACCGTGAAGTGTAGTGACTGTGTAATTTGCGGGTAAACCAGAGCAGATAGCTTTGCGCCCAGGGTAAAGGGAAAATACAAAAGGTTTTCTATCATATCAAGTGTCCGAAGATTCCAGACTCCACTCCCCTCGTTCCATCCACCCCAACATCAGCAGAAGAGTTGTCAGCTCACTGAGCCTCCCTCCCAAAACCCCTCCAGTCACACCCTCCCTCACTCCCTCCACCCCTCCCTCTCTCCCATTAATAACCTTATCGTCTCTGCAAAGTGCTTTGAGATGTGTTCATGTTTCCTGCCTGAGAGGCTTTGTGTGAAGTGCAATGCGTTGTCATTATTGTAGATTCTTTGATTACATTTCTCTACCTTTAGAGAAATTGCTGGAAAGGTGTGTATAGCGCTAATGTACTTTGCAGCTAAAGTGCATGTGTGCAAGATCATCATCATTTTTTTTCTCTCCTTTGAAGCAAATAGGGGAAGGAGACTTCTTATTTGTGAGTTCTTTCCGCTATGCCAAATGGGAGAACGTACTTGATGATGCAATATTGTGTTTAACGGAACAAAAGAAGTCTAGACTCTGACAGAGAATGTCCATTATCTCTCCTAAGTGATCGAGCGATCAAATACTGGTGGCAGAAATTATTAGGTCGGCAAAACGTTACAACAGCGGCAAGGAATGGCATTTGTATACAGCCTTTCAGGTCATGAGGACATCCCAAGGTCGTGGATCGTCAGGGATCTGCACCCGAGCTGGTGGTTAGGATCAGGGGTGGGGAGGGCGAAGCGTGGGAAGGGTGGGGGTAAAGGAGGGTGATTGAACTTGCGGTCGATAAGGAGGTTCTTGAGATGGGTCGTGAAGGAGGCGAGGGAGGGGGTGAGGCGGTGGAACTGTGGAATGGAGTTCTGCACCTGATACCCTTTGGTAGGAGGGTGGGGGAGAGAGAGCCCGTTCCATTCTAAAAACAGGTACATTTCAATAAGTGAGTGGCTTACATGTGGGACACTCTCAGCATAGTGATGGGTTTCCTCGTGCTTCAGGCAATGGCTGAGCCCCCAAAAAAAGAACTCTGTCCTGCGCTAAGGTTTACAAAACAGCACGAAATTTAAAGGGTTTTAGGCATTGAATCCTAACAGTCCTCGCACTTGATGTGGCACCTTATTCGTGTTGTTGAAAAGTCTCGAAGCGCTTGGCACGATGTACTGTAACGCCATGTGGCAGTTTAACGTCTCATCTGAAGAACTGCGCCTCTGACAAAATGCAATACTCCCTAACACTGCATTGTCAGAGGTGCAGTCATTTGGATGAGATACTGATAACAACAGCCAGGGTGACACAGGGCAGACAAGGAAATGTTCCTTTGTATCATGATAGGCATCTGCAGACAAGGAACTATTAAAAACAGACTCAATTTACTTTGTTGATCAAAGAAATTGATTGCTGGGACAGTCAAGCTCACTTTCATTCATCTATCTGTTAACCAGTCACCCATCCTAGATGTACGAGTCAATAACTTGGATGGTTTCTGGTTCTGGGAATGTCACATGTTGCTGATTTAATTCTTTGCCTTCAAACTTCCTAATTTGCTTCTTTCCACAGTCAATTCACTTTACAGTATATCCTGTGAAGAGCTTTGAGACGTCTCGAAGATGTGATAAGGCGCTATATCAAATGCAAGGATGATTATTATTATTTATTATTATTGTTATTACACAGCGGTTATGTTTATTGGGTAGTGAGGAGAATGGAGATCAGCCAAGGGAGGGAAAAAGGATTCAAACTTCCAAAGATATGTTTTGTTTAATAATAATAATAATCCTTGCATTTGGTATAGCTCCTTATCACGACTTCAAGACGTCTCAAAGCGTTTAAGCTTGAGGGCACTTTGCAAACCAGATGCTACCAATGGCTGGCGAAAGGAGGCATTTTTTTTTAATAAAGGGGGTTCCTTTAAAAGATTCCTTTTATTTGTTTAGGAACCAAACTAAATTGCTTGTTCGACAAAGCAGCTTTGAGCTAAGGGATCATTAATCTGTGACACGGGGCTGCAATGTGTCAGCAGAGGAGTACTTTCTAGTACAAAAAATTTAGTGCAAAAAAAAGTACTCAGCTTTTGTTTATCCTAAGGACATAAGAACGTAAGAATTTGCCGGGTGAAAGAAGACCAAGGTCCACCCGGTTTGCCTTCCATCATCCTGGGCAGTCTCTTACACATGTCGTCTCCCAAACTATATACTGTATCCCCAGATATTATTTCCTAACGCAAATCTATCTCATTTGTCCTTGAACGTGAATCAACACTTTCTGCTTCACTCAAGTAGTGTTTCCACGGATTCGTTCTGAATTTAACCCCCTACCGGGCGACGCAGGGAACAACTCAGTGAATACGTCTTCAGTTCAGACACAAAGCTTTTAACATCTAAACAGCTATGGAGGTGCTATTCATTTTCTGAAGCATTTTCCAGCCGTGTTCTTAATGAATTAACATCTCGCCCCAAACCAAGAAGTGTTAATCGTCTCTGAATTGTTGGTTGCTGCAACAGCGAGGAGAGATGAACAGAGGTTTCAACCTGGAAGCAGAGTCATTTCAGAGTCTGCTGTGAGGACAATACTGTCAAGGTACATGAAAAATTTACCATGACAATATTTCTAACCCCCGGAAAAAAGATTCTGCTGTCCTCTGAAGGATAGAGAAGCAGTTTCAAAGCAACGTATGGACCAGAATGCTGTAATTTTTTCCTGGTACAAGCATTTGTCTGTGTGTGTTTTTTTATTTCCCCTGAAGGAAAGAGTTCTACAAAATTTCCCATGGCTGCGGTCTTGAGGCTTTGATAAAGGTCGACTCTTATTACCTCCGTCCAAATGGGAACCCTAAAAATAACAATCTACCCTCATTCAGTTCGAGGCATTAAAGTCAAGTAGGATTTGTGTTGCGAGATTCAAACCAAAGGAATCTCACGTGAGATGCAAAGATCACTGTGCACCGCAATAATAATAATAGCAATAACAATAACAATAAT